CTTCAAAATATTTTGTTTTGTGTTCAACAGAAGAAAGAATCTTGTACAGGTTTGTAAAAACTTGAGGGCGAGTACATGATGACAGGATTTTCATTTTTTCGATTCTGTTGTGCAACAGGCACCAGCTTTTCAATAAAAATACTATTTAACTAAAACATTTTTAAAAAATGTGTTGTGAACACCAGTTCACATTGAGTTGAATATTTGGCTTTCAGCTTTACTGTGTTCTATACCTTGTAATGATTATTTTCTTATAAAATCTTAAATTTCTTGAAAACTGTGCAAACTTCTTCTTTTTTATTTTTTTTCAGATTTTATTTATACATTTTTGGAAATACATTTGAAGTGTTTTTACAAGTGTCATTAGTAACAACACCTTTGGGGCAAATACAAGTTCAGGTGCAAGCAGTTTTGTAGCTGAACACTGTTTGTCAGTGTGAAATGTTTGTTGCCAACATAACCCTTTATGTTATTTGTAAAGAAATGACCTTATGTGTTTGTTGTTGGCGCTCTTGAAAAGGTAATGCTTTCCAATAAACTGGGCTTGTGCCAGTTTCTGGGTCAAGGAGGATTAAATAATTCATGCTCAATTTGTCTGACTTGTTGCACAGCTACTCTAACAAACCATGTTCTTCAGCAGGTCAAAGCATTTGGTCTCAAATCTTAGGGCAAATTTAGGGCAAAATGGTCAAACCAGCCTCGTGAATCCAAATATAACAGACGGTTTAAGAGAGATGGTTGCCATTTAATGAAATATCGTTTTGTATGAGTTCATGTTCAAGTTAGATTTTAAGTCTTTGTTTTTCTTATAGAAGCCTCCATGAAGCTGCTGAGGTATGCTGGTTGGTTTATTGAAGAAAGCTTTGCTAGATTTTCTTCTTGTATATGTGTTTGTTGTATTTTTAAGAAGTGATGTGTGACTCTTGCCTTTCTCTGTTGACGCATTCAGAGAGTTGTTTCTTGTTCACTGAACAGAATGTCAGACTGCCTTTTTAAAGTGGGCATTTGGTGTTTATAAGGTTTGTGGCACCAACGATTTTCTGGGGGAGGTTGTGAAACAGGACGATGCATCGTCCTTATATTAACAGGCATACAGACTTTTACACAAACAGATGGTACAGGCCTGTTTAAACCTCATCTACTTTATCTAATATTGAAGTTATGTCAAACTATGACATTTCGTCGCAACATTTAGCTAGAACAGAACTGAATTAAGTATATTTTTTTATTCGCATTTGGCTGCCAGTCTTTGTATTAGGCTTTCCATGACTTTACACATGAATAATAATAAATAACTATTATTCTCCTTAAAAGTCATATGAGGTCTTGACTCAAATAATTTTTAAGGAGTATTTAGAAGCATTAGAATGTGTCTTGTACATTTAGCCTACCATTTGTTTAGAAGGCTTTTTTCAGTTCAAATTTTCAGCTGTTTTCTTTTTTATTTGTTTTATTCTCACCAGGACTACATTTACTTTGTCAAAAATACAGTAAAACAATGATATTGTCAAATATTGCTACTCATATAAATTACTGTTTTCTATTTTAATGTTTTAAAAATTTATTTATTAGTGTAATGGCAAAGCAGCCGTTGTTCCAGTCTTCAGTGTCACATGATCTTTCTGAAATCTTTCTAATATGCTGATTTGGTTCTCAAGTGACTTTTCTTCTTCTTATTATCAATGTTGAAAACAGTGCAGCTTAATATTTTTGTAGAAACTATCATGTTTTTCAGGATTCTTTGATGAATAGGAAGTTCAAAAGAACAGCATTTAGCTGAAATATATATTTTTTTGTGACTGTATCATATTGAAAACCATACTTATGTGTAATCAGTGTTGTTGTTCTGGCCAGCTGTCTCCATATAATATATAGTGGGATGCAAACATCTGAGCATTAATTGGCTGTCTGACAGGCATTCAAAATCGAATTTAAACTTGGAAAATATTCCGAATTTTCAAAAAAAATTATTTTATTTTTTTCTTTTTATATACCAATACATTTCCTGAAAAGGAGCTAGTAAATGAGGCAATTGTTGTTTTTCTGTTTATTATTTAATTGAGTTTTTAAAGGATAGGCCACCCAGTAGGGAGTTTTCTTTTTCACTTCACTGACCCTGTTATTGAATGGCAAAAACTGCATAAAGATTTATAAAACATTTCTCCTTTTGTGTTTCATCGAAGAAGTAATACGAGCATTAGGGTTTTTTTTGCCAAGACACGAGGTTGAGTTTTTATTTTTGGGTGACCTAATCTTTTCATATTCTCTGGTCCTGAGATTTTCCATCTTTGTATTGTGTTCATGTCTTTAGTGCTTGTCATCAGCAGTGGAGAGTAATGCAGTAATGTGGCTGGAGCTGCAGGGCAGTTAGTGCATTAGTTTTGTCCAGCCGTATCACGTGATGGGAGCTGGAGGTGGAGGCGTCTCTGCCTCACTCTGCCTTGAATTCAAATAAGGTGCTTTTCTGACTCAGGTACAATCAGTAATTTGTTTTAGCCTGTAGCCTCTGTGGAGACATGTGGATCTGTGGTGGGGCACTAAGTGTACCGTGAGCGTGAAGACTTCAAATCCCATGTGTTACCAAATAAAGTGATGCATAACAACTGTTGACAAGGAGACCAAATGGCTGCACGGCTGCCAATAAGCTCAGACTCCACTTGATTTTCTTTGACAGTCGTCTTTTTTTTTAACAGTGGTTTACTTCTTTCGCCAAGGTTCACTTAATGTATAATGTTAGTTGCTGAAAACTGAATATGCATCATTGATGTTAAAGTGATGTTTTGTGTTGATTTCTTAATGTTGTGATGTCATAACCATGAGGATTTCAGAGCAAGCTGTTTTTTTTGCAATTTAGTTTCAGTAAATGTTCCTTTCGGACTAAAGATGATATAGAATAACTATATAGGGATTATATAGGGCCTTGTGGATTTTAGTGACTCCCTTAAAAAGGTACTATTGCAATTGCAACTTCACCCAAGTTCACCCAAAAATGAAAATTGTGTCAGCATTTACTCACCCTCGTATTGTTCCAAACCTGTGTGAAATTCTTTTTGTTGAACATAACAGAAGATTTTTTGATCAATTTAATGAATCCTCGCTAAAATAAAAGTTATTTCTTTAAACAAATCTTACTGATTTTTTTCCCCCCATGTGATGGTCCCATATCAATGGTAACAAAACTGTTTGGTTACCAACATTCTTCAAAACATGCTCTGTTTTCTGGGTAACACTTTAGAATTTAGTACTATAGTATTGGGACCAATTCTCACTATTAACTATTTACTTATTAGCATGTACATTACTAGAATATTGGCTGTTTATTAGTACTTATAAAGCACATATTCTGCATGACCATATTCTACATTCTTCCTACCCAATACCTAAACTTAACAACTACCTTACTAACTATTAATAAGCAGTAATTAGGAGTTTGAGGCAGAAGTCACTCTTAATACAGTAGTTAGTTAATGGTGAGAACTAGACCTTAAAATAAAGTGTGACCATTTTCTGTAGTGTTTCAAAGAAGAAAGAAAGAAAGAGGGCAAGTAAATGATGACAAAACTTTTATTTTTGTGTGATCCTTTTTACACAAAGATTGTATTAGGATTAATATCCCCACATTTATCGCAGATCACTTTTTTGATACATATATGGCACTTTTTGTTTACTGTTGCAGAAATGGCTAAAGTGTCTGACTAACCTCTTTATTGTAGTCTTATCAGAGATTGGGCGTTTTGCCTCAGAGTTGGAAGAGGTGACCTCATTGAAGCTGCAGTGAATATTTGGAGCATTTACAGTAAATGTCACTACTTCCTTGCTGATGTTGCCAACTATTCTTCAGTGGATATTTTGGGCCTAAGAGAGGATATCAACTGGTGGGCCAATATTCCAGAATCCATACATTAACATCTTGACACTTCTCCAAAAGTGTTCTATATTGAACTAAATGTCTGTCGTGACATGGCATGAAGTAACAGACAGGGACAAAAGTTTAGGTTAGTTAAGTTTGTGAAATATTATTATAATATTGTAAAATAATACAATTTAAAAGAACAGTTTTCTGTAAGATGCAATTTATTCCTGTGATAGCAGAGCTGAATTTTCAGCAGCCATTACTCCGTACTCTTAGGTGTTACATGATTCATCAAAAATCATTCTAATGTATTAATTTGTTGCATTAGTAATATATTTTTTTTATTATTCAGTTTCTTATAATTAGCCATGCTGAAAACAGTTGTGTTGCTTAAAATTTCCATGGAAACTGTGACAATTTTTCAGGATTCTATTTGTTTTAAATTAACATATTTGTAGAATTATACATGTCTTTGCTAAATTTAAGCATTTATTTCTTAAAAAAAAAATCTATTTTTTGTTTGTTTTCCCCTTTCATTTCATTCATTCATTCATTCTGGGGCTTTTTAAGTGTTAAATGGGTTTATACTTTTCCCTGTCTGCTGCCATTGGCATCAGCTCAGGATAGTCACTGGTGAAAGTTTTGGAACTTTGATCAACCAATTAG